GTTTCTGTAGGGAGACTAAAACGTAACAATGATCCATATCAGCAGTTTGAATCCAACTAAAAAGCTCCCTGCACCAAAACTCCTTAAGAAATATCAAACATTTTAACAATTCCTAACTGTTCGTAACAACACGTAACTCTAGAAAACACGAGCTAAAGGCCGTCACATGTCCACAAGTGTGACCTCAGAGGGGACAGAAAAGGTAGCGGCGCTGTCTCACTGACTGAAGCTGAGTCTGTTGTGTTTGCGTCAGATTAAAAGGTCGGAACGATCCGCGTGGATCAGGTTAAAAGACTACCGTACCTCCCAAAAGACAACGGAGAACAAGCACGATGTGACCAAAACATCTGAGGGGAGACGAAGGCTGCGCTCCCAAAGAGCCCAACGAGTCCCCTCCTCCTCCTCAAGAGGAAGAGGAGCAGTAACCCGTCCCGGTGAAGAAACCCAAGAAAGGTGAAAATCACTGTCTGTTTATCATTTGCCCGTATTTAACCATTAGAGGTTCCATAACGTTTTTATTTTCATGTATATTTTGTCTGCGTTCGAATGAATGGAGAGCTCACAGGCTGTTGATGCTGGCGCACTGCAAGTCATTGACCCATCTCAGGTCTAAAAATACATTTATAACATATACTCTGACATTATTTTATGGAAATTATTCAAGTTTTTTTGTTCTTTTCAAATAACAACATATTGTCTTTAAAGGTTAAAACCCCCAAAAAATATAATAAATATTGAAGATATATATATATATATATCAAATATATAAATAATACAAATATAATATATATATTTATATATATATATATATAATTTTCAAACGAAGTAGTTCTAAAAGATTGACTATTTAAAGTAGAAAATATTATTTATTTTTCAACAGTTTTTGCGAAGGTGGAGTTTCTGCCTTCAGAACAGATAGAGTGACCCCAAAGGGTTTAAATAAATAAATAATAAATAAATAAGAAGGTTTAGTTTGTCTCTCCGGGCTTCGTACGTCTGTCAATCCAAAGATTTTTATTTCTCCTCTAAGCCTTTCTGTCACAAGACAAGAAAGAGAAGAAAAAAAAAAGAAAGAAGAAGAAAGAAAAGAAAGAAAAAGAAAAAGAAGAAAGAAGAGAAACCGAGAAAGAAACAACAAGGAAAAGGAGAGAAAGAGGAGAGAGGCGAAAAAAAAAAAAAAGAGAGAGGAAGACGGAAGGAGGAATCTAAAAGAGGGAACAGAGAAAAGAGAGGAGAGAGCAGGAGGAGACAAGACAACAGAGCAGAGAGAGAGACAGAGAAGAAAAAGGAAGAGATGACAGAAGAAGAGAGAGAAGAGAAGAAGAAGGAGAGAGACAAGACAGAGAGAAGAGAGAAAACAGAAAAAGAAGGAGGAGAGAGACAGACAGAGACAGAGAGAGAGACAAGTGATAAGGAAGGAGAGAGACAGACAGAGAGAGAACAAAGTGAAGGAGGAGAGAGACAAAGAAAGAGAAGGAAGAGGAGAGAACAAGACAGGAGACAGAGAGAGAGACAGAGATAGGAGGAGAGAGACAGAACAGAGAGAGAGACAGTGATAGAGAGGAGAGAGACAGACAGGGAAAAAAAAACAACAGGAAGAAGAGAAGAGAAGAGAGAAACAGACAGGAGAAAACAAAAAAAAACAGAAGAAAGAAGAGAGAAAAACAGAAACAGAGAGAAAACAGAAGAAGAGAGAGAACCGTCCCGTAAACACTGAGACACCTGCAAGTTAACTGATGTTTATATTAATGGACTCTTCATAAGCACCGCCCCTCTTTGCTCTGCGCTCCAATCAATATTTAAGTACAGAAGGGGGAAGTTAGACGGAGGATTGTCAAAACCGTGATTTGGAGCACAGGAGCCAAAAAAGGGGGGCGGGTTGGGAAAGGGGTCGGCCAAGCCGCCGTCTACAGGCTGCAGCGTTCATTACACAGGCAGCTGTTTCACCGAGGCTTCTGTCCTCGCAGCAGAAACTTCATGTTGTATTGTTTGAATTAGTTTGAATAAAAACACAGATGTCCAGCTTGTGGCACGAGTGATTTTATATGAATTAAATTCAGTGACAGAAATGTTTAAACAGCTGATCAATTCCAAATAAATGCTGTACAATTCCTCACCTTCAGGCAGCCAATTTTGGTTTCAGTTCATTTCCAGATGGTGAAACAATCTATAGGAGCGTAGAGAGAGTGAATATTGACAGTAAGTTTTGTTTCGGGGTTGTTGGAAAGTGAGAAAGATCCAATGGACTCACACAGAGAAACAAATGCACCCATTTATTATGGAAACCCACAGAAACCGAGCAGAACACAGAAACAAAAGAAAAAGGTCCGACGAAACATCCTCCGATCGCAGTTCAAAAAAAAAAAAAAACATGATGTAAATGTCAAGTTTAACTGTCAAAAAAGCCAAATGCGGTTTCAGAACAGTAAATATTTTTACAAAGGTTCCTTTCTTCAGTTTGGTGGGCTGCTCTAAATACTACACTTCCCATGAGCCCTGCTGCTGTTGCTATGGATTTACTGCTGAAATATTTGATCAGATTTGTAGCAGCACATTTAACAGAATGTGAAGCCTGATTGGATGTTTGTTAGTGAGATGCACCTGGGAGTCTAAGTTGTCCTTCAAGCTTTCAAGTTCACAGGCTTTTGTAACATTTTTCATCAAAGCAGATATTTTTTAACAACAGTGCCATTTTTGTAACTGACAGAATTCATCCAAGGAACTCTTATGATAAAAAAAAAAAAGGAACAGTATTTTTTCCTTTCTTCAGTACACATGTTGAGGTGTGACAGTTCAGCAAACTACAGCAGCAAGAAACCGGAAGAATTAACAACAAAGTTCAGAAACAGCTTAAAAAAAAAAATTACCTTCAAAATCTCTGTACAGCCGAACAAACGCCAAACAAAATAAAAGTCAAAAATTACACCGAGGAATAAAACGCAGCAGTCTGTAGTTTTTTAGAAAAATAATAAGTCAATTATAACTTCATTTACAATATTTTCAAAAACATTTCATAGAAAGTCGGCGGGTTGCAAAAGTGGAAAGTGATTATCAGAGAGCAGGCGTTTCCTCTGTGTTATTAATATACTTTATACTTAACATCCAAAAAAAAAAACGGGAATTAAAACCCTGCACGTGAAAATAAAAGCGTTTAGATGATTATGGATCTTATTTTAATTAATGCTGCCTCATAAAATGCAGCTTTAAAGTTTTCTGATGCAGCACAAAATCATTATTTGACCACTGACAACAGTAAATATAACTAATATTATTAAATAAAGACACCAATGAATCAATTTTAATTTTTTCCCAGTAAAAACTTGTAAAAAGTAGCTGACTGATAAAGGCTGATCAGGTAGTTATTAGTCTGATTAATGATTTAATAATGGGAGTATTGATTCAGTCAGTACTCCAGATTAGAGACAGGAAGTCTCGCGGTGTGAACGAGGCTTCACCTTGATGCCGTTGAAGTTGTCCACAGCGAGGACGGTGCTCCTCTGGTCCTCGTAGCAGATGAAGCAGAAACCTTTGGACTTCCCCGTCTTCTTGTCTCGCACCAGGTTGATGTTGACGATCTCTCCGTACCTGAAGAGGTTCATGGGAGGAAAGGGAGTGAGAGTGTGTGTGTGTGTGAGTGTGAGAGTGAGTGTGTGTGTATGTGTATGTGTGTATGTGTGTATGTGTGTGTGTGTGTGTCAGACGTACTGAGAGAAGACACAGATGATGTCCCCTTCAGTCAGCTCGTATGGAAACCCTCCTGCAGGGAGCAGAAGAACAGAAGAACAGAAGATGAGACAGCAGTTGAGACAGCAGTTCCTCGTCTATCAACCCTCCCAGCACCGATCCAGACTCTTACCGATGAAGATCCAGGCGCTGTCTTTGTACTCGGTGTGCCAGGAGACGGACTCGTTCACCCCGAGGTCGGCCTCACGCGCGTTCAGCTCGTTGATCAACTTCACCTTCGTTAGCGGACTGAAAACAGACGAGATGAATGTCACATTACAGTCTCAGGTGACTGCTCCTTTATCTGGAGCCTGGTGTCTGGAATAATGAAATGAACGAGCAGCACCTGAACACACCATCAGTTCTTAATTATTGGACCCAAACAACAATAAAAAAAAAACATCAATAATCAATAAAACTGGAAACTAGAAAGCAAGTTACATATAAGACTCATTAAGAGAAATTATTCTACATATGAAACAAATAAAGTATCTTTACAGTGGAAACAAACAAACAAAACAATTCAACTGGTTCAAAAACAGCAATAGCAAAATAATATCTATTTAAGATTTTAGTAACTTTTTGAAAGGAAAATCTACGTTATAAACACAATATAATTGTATAAAAGTGTGTTTATATGTGATAAAAGAGGGTAATTGCTCTCTAAACACAATAATGCCAGATTTGAGACGCTGTTCTGTGTACGGACAAACATTCACGCCAGACTCAGTTCAAAATTACTCCGATTTAATGTTTCCCCGTATCGGGACGAGTACACGTGTGAGGGGTTAGTGACTGCACGTTGTGTATAGTTAGGGTCCAATGTAGAAATCGGCAGACCAACCGACCTCGAATAAAAGAAAGTAATAGAAATAAAACCAATTATTCTTCACCAAACCTCCGTAACAGGAGCCGCAAAGCACACCAGAAAACTTTGATTTAAAAGAAATACGAACTGTTTGGTGTGTGCCGAATCCAAACACTGCTTTTAATAGTTCATTACAATGTAAATGATGTTTAATTAAGTGCGTTTACAGCCGATTAAAAGAGAAATGGTTAAATTGTGAGATTTCCAAGCAGAGTTCGGAGCAACTAGAATGTGCGGAGCTGCGATCAGTTACCGATAATGTTAGATAGCTGTTAGCATTGTGCAACGACAGCACGAGTTTAGGTCGAACACATAAAACACATAAATAAATAATAAATGTTTTAATGTGAAACGTTTACTTACTTCATGGTTGAGCTGCTAAAGTCTTCCTGATATGAGCCACTTCCGCTTCGGATTCCCGCCTCTGCTGCCGCCTGCTGTTCGGAAGACTTCACTACAAGCTGCGTTTCTGTGACCAAATAACGAAACAATTATTGTTCCGGGTTTTTTTTAAAACTGTATAGTACAAAAATGCATGATGCTCGATATATTTAATTAATAATATATTATTTGAGCTATTAATAGTGTAAAAACGTGTTATTTTGCCGCCCGGACAGCAGGTGGCGCTGTGAGGATATCCGTCACCTGCGGACCCGGTTTGTAAACAGTCCGTCAGTAGAGGAGCAGGCAGCTAATATAAAATAATATAATATTATAACACACATTCAATCTATTAATAATCATGGATCAATAACAGATAGTTTGATTATTAGTTGCATATATATTTGTCACAGCTTTATCTTTGTTTCAAGTCTTCAGCCGGTAAGTAAAACAGTAAGTTAGTTCTAACATGAACTCCGTTATAATCTCAGTACATTTAACTTATATTACTCCTTTTCTAACCCAGTCTGCATGTTAAACACATTTTTAAGATGTTTTATGAGTTGACTGTGACTTTTGATCAATTCGGCAGTAAATGAATCAGCCTTTACTCAGCTGTTTACTCATTTATTTATATTTAATGTCGGTTTCGGTTCAGTGTTTTCGTCTCCGAATGAACATTTGCAGTGAAAGTTGAACTGCGGATCACAGATACACGTTTACAGTATCTGTGTTACACCAGGGTGTCGAGTTCAAGCAGTTTTGTTTAACATTAACACCTGAAATTGGTAGAAAAGTGAGTGGAGTTTGGTTGGAGGTATTTTTAAAGAGCAAATGTCGGTGTTGTTGGAGCTCAGTGTCAGAGACTACTCATCCACAGTGAAGCTGCGTATTATCGATATTTAAACCTAATTCAATACAAGGGGCGTAAATAATACGACACTGACTCCGTTATCACCGACAGGGGGCGCTACTGTACTACAGTTCCTCTGTTAAAGGATGAATATTAA